ATCGGCAGGAATTTATGTACATATGCTATTTGAACTTCTATTGTTTTTCACACTCCTATTGTTTTGTTGCAGTGATTGTTGTTCTAACTTGTTGATGCAGCCCTCCTGGGCATCTGAGCAAAAGAACTTCATAGTACTTCGGATTTCTCCAGGCTAAATAAAAGATTCTGATTATCGCCAAAACGACTTCAGTGTCAGGAGTCTCTCGCCCCTTTGAGCCCTGGCGAGATGCGAGAGTCCCGGCGAGCGTTAGGGGAAATGCAGCCCGGCCGCGTGAGTGGTGGTGGTGGTGGTGGGTCATGTGAACCTGTGGGGGCGGCGGGGACAGCGTGGTTCTCGACTTCTGCCCTCTGGTTCCTGGCCAGATCCTTTGCCCTCTCCGCTGGCTTCGGTGGAATTACAGGTCGCGTCACCCCTTCACTCGTTCGTTCGTGAAACATCACACGCACGTTCTACAGGGCCCACACTACGAAACGTATCAAGGGGTTAGGACATTGTAACATTCTGCAAAATAACTAATCAACAAAACCTGCAACTTAGTAACGAACATCCTTCGATAGAGCGCGTGGATATTTACGGCTTGCGCAATCTGGCTTCTTCAATCCGGACAGATCTCCTGTTAAGGTCGGAGCTACGGAGCGTATAACAGGAGCCCCACTACTGCGCAGGTTTTGTGCGGTTGTGCCGCCGTGCCACCGTGCCGCTCCGCGCGCGTCTCGGGTTGGACAGCCGCTGCGCTCATCGTCACGACGTCCGACATTTCGCTCGACGGGCTGGGACCATCTTCAGCCTTTTCCGGAGTTGTTCCGGAAGGAACTGTTTATTCGTCTGGAACGGAAGCTCCCTGCGCGTGGAGCAAAAAGTCGGACATCTCCCCAAGCAACGCCATCACGACCCAAACGCACACGACGGAGAGCTACAGCAAGCACGGCTCGCTCTTGTACGGCTCCAACAACGGCCGTTGTCAGACAAGCGCAGCCAGGTGGGATGGCAGTAGCCGCTCGCCATTCATCGCCGCTCATGCAAGTTCAAAGTGCAACGATGGTTTTGAAAACGAAGCAACTCCGCAAACGTGACAGCGGCGCCGACAGCAGCGGCGGTGCTCGACCGCGATGGCCACAAGCGCCGCAGCGCGCGGCACGCACCTGCGGGAGTTCTTGGTGTCGGGAGGGTGGCCGGGCTGCAGTCTTGTGGAGGGGTCATCTTAGCCACCTGCGCCGACAGCAGGAGAGGCCGTGAGCTGCCGGCAAGGTTCCTTCATCGATACGACGACGACAACGCGAACCGGGGAACTTACCGCCCGCGGCTTCGTCCACGCGGCCCCCGGCCACGCGAGGCCAACCGCATCGAAGAGGCCCACAAGCGATGTTTTAGCCGTCACTGAAGGCGACTTATCCGGGTACTGGGATGGGAATATTTCCAACCCGAGTGTCTCAAGTTAGCGCCATGCTCAGTAGGCCCCCGCAGTGAGCCGCGTGTGAATGTGCGGTTCCAAGTAAGCGTTTTACATTCCTATTCGACACTGGGTAGTGAATCGGTTTCCTAGCCCCTTTTTTAAAACCGGTTTGTATCTACGGTCGGCACGGTGCCACAGCGTAACATCTGCGCAGCACGACCGGCACGCGGGTTGTGCCTGTGTTTGGTGGCTGCGGCAGTGGACTGGCCTGTTTCTGCATTTCCACTTTGGACTTCTCAATTTCTTCTTGCGAAATGAATGAGAAGAGCTCCGGCTTGGGGTGAGTTCCCTGCGAAGGAGAAAGTCAAATGAAAGGCACGCGTGCGACGGGCGACGGGTTGAGGAAGCGGCATAAATCTCGACGCGACCCACCAACCCGTGCCTCCGAAGCGGCACGTGACGGACGCTCCCGCGCTCGCGACCCGACGCGGGCGAATGGGGAGCGAAGGCGCCCCGGCACGTGCGCTCTCCGCACCTTCAAGATCATGTCGACCTCGTACCGCGCCAGGTAGATGTCCAAAGTGACGGCGGCGACGCGATCCACGTCGGGCTCGCCGAGCGTGTCCGGGAAGGCCAACCCGTCGGCCTGCCGCTCGGTGTAGCCGAACATTGTGAGGACGTCTCGCGAGCCCTGCGCACCACACAGACCGCCCCTCGTGTCGCTCGTCTCAGCGATGGCGGCGGGCGCGGCGGATGCGTCGGGACTCGCGACGGCGCCACGGTGCGTCGGGTGGAAAGGGAGGCCGACGTTGCCACGGGTCCCTTGGCCCTGCCCAGGAGAGCGTCACGGACTGACCGGACTCTGTCTGACGCTTTTCAGCCACGAGGCCGAAAGCGTGAAGGCATTAGTCTGCGCCGAATGGGGGGGCTAATAACACTCGTCAAGATGAACTAATGTGAATGTTTAGTTTAATGTTGGCTTGTCATTAGGGATTCAACCTGATAGTAATCTGGCCACACTGGTTAAAGAGTCAATGAAACAAATTGTGGTGACAAAAACCGGCACCAAAAGGATTTTTCTTGGCGGCCAGGGTGATATCGTCATTCCGCGTCATCTTACGAAATCCATGCCAATGCATGATGCTGGTTCTCGCACTTGTTTCTGTGCTGTGGGTCTGCCTTGAACATTATACTTGGGCTCTCACGTGGTTAAGACGAAAGTGTAGTTTGTCACAAGGGGAACACTATCCACTGCCAGGGTCCGGCCCCACGGCATCGGGAGGCTCGGCGGGACGGGGATACCTTGATGCAGTCGACCGTGTTTTTGAACACCGGGTTGTCAAACTTGACGGTCTGCCAGTAGTCGGGCTTGTCCGGCTTCAGGAGGTTCCGGCCATACTTCTCCAGAAACAGAGAGGGCAGTGAGTACGGCGTTCAGGCCCCTGCCGCCCTGGCAGACAAACACACACAAATCCCCTGTGTAGCCTTAATCGTGTTCTGGGCAAGTGTCATAGCGAGCGCCTATGAAGGCTGGCGCAATACACAAGGGGGTGGGAGGCCAGATCCATGCACGGCCGCCTTTGTCTCCCTTGTGGTGATATTTTACATGCCGCACCAGGTACTCATTTGAGGCCGAGTCGACCTAGGGGAGGCCTAGGACCAATCAGTTACCTGTCACTGGTGTTGGCCGTGAGCGGGAATCTAACTCGGGTCACCGGATTTGTATCGTAGCGCGCTAACCGCTTCGCTACCGCTCCCCACAAACAAGAACACGCTCTCCTACCACCACCACCACTTTCAACACCATTCTATAACATCTCACACCACACCACCACACGTCACCACAACCACCGTCACCTCCAGACAGACACCACACAGCCCTCCACCACCACTAAACTTGCACACACCACACACCCCTCCACCACCACTAAACCTTCACACACTTCAACACCTGACACAGTTTCACTGCGCTGTCCGCCACCACGTTCACACCCGACTACCGGCCCTCGCGTGCCCCCCCACACTGACCCACGTGTCGAGCAAGTTGCCTGCCAGTTCCCCGTCGCATCCTCGTCGGTATTCGTGTTCCGTGTCAGTGCGTGGGCGCGTGAAGAATGCGTGCAATGCTGATAAGCAGGTGCGCTATTAGCCAGACCAGCTACGCAAGTCCATCGAGACAAACGTAAACTAGATTCATTCCGTTCACAATTGTTGTTTACTCAGGACAGCCTCGTCTGAGTCTCTCGGAGTTTTTGTTCAAGCTTTCCCCGTAGGGGCCGCTGCCAAAGCTGCCAAAGCTGCCGAAGCTGCCGCTGGGTGATCCTACTGAGCACGCTCATTTGCGAGCAATTTCTCGGCGCCGACACGCTTCCTTGAAAGGCCACGCGGAAAGCACGAAAACGCCGCACGGGGAAGGCACACGACTCTGGGATCGAACCCCGGTCCTCCTCGATGCGAAGCCACGACTTGTTTACCCCTGCGGCCCAAAGCAAAGCGAATCAGAGAACGTTGCTGGCGTTTTTACAACCGCGTGGCCAGGGCGTGGGGGCTGCCGCGTCAGGCGATTCCTCGCGACCTGGAGCGTCGTAAAGCCCCGGGGACAGCAAATCGGCCTGTGTGTGTGTGGTGGTCTGTGTGTATGTGAGGTGGTGTGCGTGGTGGTGTGTGTGTGTGTGGTGTGTGTGGTGGTGTGTGTGTGGTGGTGGTGGTGTGTGTGTGTGGTGGTGTGTGTGTGTGGTGGTGTGTGTGTGGTGGTGTATGTTGGTGTGTGTGTGGTGGTGTGTGTGTGTGGTGTGTGTATGTGTGGTGGTGTGTGTGGTGGTGTGTGTGGTGGTGTGTGTGGTGTGTGTGTGTGGTGTGTGTGGTGGTGTGGGGTGTGTGTGTGTGTGGAACCATTTAGGCTGGCCTGCCTACGATCCATCCTTGGTCTAACCAGGCTGGATTGTGTGAGGAGCTCACAAATCCTTGAAAAATCTGGGCAAAGTCCCATCAGTGAGCTCTCCGGCAGGCAAGGCTGCGTTGGCTGGGTCATGTAGCCCGCATGCCCAGCCACCGCATGCCTAACAGCTTTTGTTCGGCCGGATCGAGGGGGGCTAAACGGGCGCGGCACGGGCTAGAGAAGAGATGGAGTGATGTGGTACAGGAGGACGTGGAGCTGAGTGGACTTGCCGATGACCGGTACCAGCGGTGTCAAGATCGGCCTCAGTGGAGGAGGCTCGTCAAGGACGCTACTGGGCAGTTGGAGGCAGTCACCCTCCAACAACAACGGAGGGCGGAGGAGCGACGCTCACAACAACGAGCGGAGCGCCGGGTGGCTAAAGCACAGCAAGTTGGTACAGTAGGGGCACAGGTGGTGCATCAGCCAGTCATCTCGCGGTCATCTCGGTCAATCGACCCGTGGCACCTGGGTCTGCCCCGTGACCTCCTGCCAGCGGGCGTTCGACACTTCACGTGGCCTCAAGGTGCACTTGGCCTGGCACAAGCGTCGTGGTGACGTCACCGCCACTAGTGGCGAATGGCGGTTGTTGTTGTTGTTGTGTGTGTGTGGTGTGGTATGTGTGGTGGTGTGTGTGGTGGTGTGTGTGTGGTGTGGTGGTGTTGTGTGGGTGTGTGGTGGTGTGTGTGTGGTGTGTGGTGGTGTGTGTGGTGTGTGTGTGGGTGTGGTGTGTGTGTGTGTGGTGTGTGTATGTGTGGTGGGGTGTGTGTGGTGTGTGTATGTGTGGTGGTGTGTGGTGTGTGTGTGTGTGGATGTGTGGTGTGGTGGTGGTGTGTGGTGTGGGTGTGTGTGTGTGGTGTGGTGTGTGTGTGTGTGTATGTGTGTTGGGTGTGGTGGTGTGTGTGTGTGTGTGTGTGGTGTGTGGTGGGGTGTGTGTGTGTGTGTGTATGTGTGGTGGTGTGTGTGGTGTGTGTGTATGTATGGTGGTGTGTGTGTGTTTGGTGGTGTGGTGTGTGTGGTGGTGTGTGTGGTGGTGTGTGTGTGTGTGGTGGTATGTATGTGTGGTGGTGTGTGTGGTGGTGTGTGGTGGTTCGTGTGGGGGATGGTGGTGTGGTGGTGTGTGTGGTGGGCGTGTGGTCCGTGTGGTGGTGTGTGTGGTGATGTGTGGTGGTGTGTGTGGTGGTGGTGTGTGGTGATGTGTGGTGGTGTGTGTGGTGGTGATGTGTGGTGGTGTGTGTGGTGGTAGTGGTGGTGTGTGTGGTGTGTGTGGTGGTGTGTGTGTGGTGTGTGGTGTGGTGTGTGGTGTGTGTGTGGTGGTGTGTGTGGTGGTGTGGTGGTGGTGTGTGGTGGTGTGTGTGGTGTGGTGTGGTGTGTGTGTGGGTGTGGTGGTGTGTGGTGGTGGTGTGTGTGTGGTGTGTGGGTGGTGGTGTTGGGGTGGTGTGTGGTGGTGTGTGTGTGGTGGGTGGTGTGTGGGTGGTGGTGGTGTGGTGTGTGTGGTGGTGTGTGTGGTGTGGTGGTGGTGTGTGGTGGTGTGTGTGGTGGTGTGTGGTGGTGGTGGTGGGTGTGTGGTGTGGTGGGTGTGTGGTGTGGTGGTGGTGTGGTGTGTGGGGTGGTGGTGTGTGGTGGTGGTGGTGTGTGTGGTGGTGTGTGGTGGTGGTGTGTGGTGGTGTGTGTGGTGGTGGTGTGTGTGGTGTGTGGTGGTGGTGTGTGGGTGGTGTGTGTGTGGTGGTGTTATGTGGTGGTGTGTGGTGGTGGTGGTGTGTGGTGGTGGTGGTGTGTGGTGGTGGTGTGTGGTGGTGGTGTGTGGTGGTGGTGTGTGGTGGTGGTGTGTGGTGGTGGTGTGTGGTGGTGGTGTGTGGTGGTGATGTGTGGTGGTGGTGTGTGAACGTGAATGAGCAGCAGCAGCAAGTCACGTGTGCGTGGTGTCTGGACGATGTTTCCCGCGACCAAGTTCCCTGCCAAGTGCTGAAGGAGCCGCCCTGAGCTCGCGCCATGCCCAGAGGGTGCAAGTTTGGAGTCGTGGAGCCGAGTCCACGACGCGGCCTTGCAACAGCAGCAACACCCTGGGGGTGCCCGAAACTCCAGAAGTTGGCCCCGAGAAGGGAGATGAGAAGGGAGATGAGAAGGGAGAGGCGGTGGTGGAGGAGGAGGAGCAGGCGGCCAGGAGGGATGGGAGCTGCGCGGAGTGGGGAGTCGGAGGGAAAGGCGCCGACGGCGACGAGGAAGTGTATGGGGGGAGCGTTCGAGGAGGAACCCCAAAGGAGTGAGGAGGAGGAGGAGGGTGGAGAGGTGGGTAAGAGGCGGTAGCTTTTGGAGGAATGAGCGGACTGCGAAGGAGGCGACAGGCGAGGACGCGGGGAGCGGGGATTGGGAGGGTGAGGAGGGTGAGGAGGGGTCCGAGTTCGCCGCGTCCGCGCGCCTCACCGGCCCCACGTTGGGCTGGAGGAGGCGCTCCACGTCCACGTGCTGGTACCGCTCCGACAGCGGCCCGCCCAGCGCCGCGAGCTGCGCCGCGAGGCGTTGAGGCGCCCCAAGCGGCTTGTCCCTCAGGAGGCGCTCCGCCTCGTCTCGAAGCCCGCGGGGGGACACGCGGGCGCGGGCGATGGGCGACTGCATGAAGGGCTCACCCAGGGCCGGCCGGGCCGGGTCATTCCCCACCTCCATCTCCGGCAAGCCGACGGTCGCCCCGATCGCCGCCTGAGTCGGCACCAGGAAGCTTGGCCCCGACCTCGAGACCCCGACCTCGAGACCCCGACGGGCGGAGCGCGAAGGGGCTCTCTGGATGTTTCCGCAAACACGCAGGGGTCGCTGTCCGCAGGGCTGGATACCCCCCCCCCCCCCCCCCCCGCTGCTGCTAGTGCAGCAGTAGCTCTTGCAGAAGCTGCTGCTGCTACTGCAGCTGCAGTAGTAGTTGCAGCAGCAGCTGCAGTAGTAGCTGCAGCAGCACAGGTGTCAGCGGTAGTTGGCAGTCGTCGTTGTTGTTGCAGGAGGAGTTGTACCCCAGTCGGAGCTGAACCCACCACGGGGAAACCCCCCGCGTCACTTCCGGGTCGAGCGCCGCGTCAATTCCTGGCAGGCCCCGCCCCCTCCCTCCACAAGCCCCGCCCCTCCCTCCACACGCCCCGCCCCCTCCCCCCGCCCCCTCCCCCCGCCCCAACAACCACAAAGTGGCGCTGACGTCGCTTGTGCCAGGCCACGTGCACTTTGAGCCTGGGTGACGTGTCGACGGCTCGCTGGCAGGAGGTCACGGAACAGACCCAGGTGCCACGGGTTGACCGACTGAGATGACTGGCAAATGCACCGCCTATGCTCCCCACTGTGCCAACTCGCTGCGTTTTAGCAGCCCAGCGCTTCGCTCGTTGTTGTGAGCGTCGCTCCTCCGCCCTTCGATGTTGCTGGAGGGCGACTGCCTCCAACTGCCCAGAAGCCTCCTTCACGAGCCTCTTCCACAGACGCCGATCTTAGCACCGCTGATACCAGATATTGGCAAGTCCACTCAGCTCCATATCCTCTCGCGCCACATAATTCCATCTCTTCTGTAGGTCGTGCCGCGCCCGTTTAGCCCCCTCCATCCGGCCAAACAGAAGATGATTGGGCATGTGGACTACATGAGCGAGCCTCGCCTTCTGGAGCGCACCGATAGGTCTGTGTCCAGATCGTTCAAGGATTTGCGAGCTCCTCATACAATATCGCAGGTTATATCCAGGACGGATCGTTGGTAGGCCAGCCTGGACGGTTCAAACACGCGCCCTGCCCCCCCCCCCCCGCCGTCCTTGTCTCTCAATGTAATTCCAAGCATGCACACGACACCAGGTCGAATCAATTCCGTGACTGCACCAACATCACCAGCACACACTGCCAGTCCGTGCCTTTATTCACATTTCGTATTTACATTCACTGACCACAAACGCAACCCCACTCCCATACCCACTCTGCAAACCCATTTGGCGTGGCCACGTGAATGCCCTGGCTGCGAGGTGTGGACGAGACCTCGGCACCAGTCCCCTTGGGCCGTCGAAGCCGCGGGTGCCCTGGGGTGGAGCGCGTGGGGCACGTGCCCTGTGTTGGAATGAAGGCAATGGCGGGTCCCGGCTCAACTTCCCTCTGTGGAGCATGAAGCTTGGGCCACAGGCCAATGGAGCAGTGGCACCGCCTGCACACCCAATAGCCACATCACTGCGAGGGCAGTAAACTAGTTTGCCAACTTCCAGTTATGAACAGACTGCAGCCTCAATTGTTTTGGCCCAAGTAGTGAGCCCGGCGTCAAGAGAATGTGATTCCCACCTCCTGGAAATGTGTGCCCTGAGGAACTAATTTTTGGGAATTATGGTTCATCTTCCTGAATATTTTATGAGCTCAGAATCATCTTGCAAGTGGTACAAATACGTAGAGGTGGTGGTGGGGACATTTTTGTTGGGGGGCAAATATGTTCCACTGGTTGAACAAATATGTAGGCCACTGATATTCATCTGTGCGGGTCGGCCGAGAAAAGCGGCTTCACTAAGCTCAGTCACCACAGTGACGAACACAACTGATGTTTTGTTTATCTCTCAGCGAGGCCAGCAAACGCCAGGTGCCACTGCTGTAGCGCCAGCTCCAATGTTCACTGATAGGCTGCTATGAGATAGTGAAACACGGTTTAAACGTACCAAGATAGAATGTTCACGCCAACTTACGTCCCGCGGCAGTGCTTTGCGACATTAAAACGCACCGCACAATTTTACACAGCGATGAAAACTCAACATTGTGAACGACAGTGGCGTTCTTTTTATTGTGCGATTAGTTCCGCATTACAACTAAATTTGAGCACGTTTTGAGGCTGGTCTTCGTAAAAAGACGGTGCAAAAAAAATCAAGTGAAGCTATTCCTTGTCGCTGGAACGGCAAACCAAGGACGATAGGCCGACTGCGATCTACTCGCCGCAGAGTCCCAGCGGGAGACATCTGACACGGTCATTATTGTCCACAGAGGAAATCAAAGGCCTGGTTTTGTTGCTTCTCGGCCACGTGTGGGGATCCTGCTGCCCTCGTGTACTGGTGCGCACACTGGACTTGCAGCCCAGGCCATCGGCGCGATTCACGTGGCGGTAGTTGAAACGGTGCAAGTTTGTCCCCCCCCCCCCGGCCTGCCTCTGTCCACGCAGCAGTGTACACATGGGTAGACCACGCCTCGTCCATCGACAGGTCGCGTGTGGCAGGGTCAAGTGTCGGTATGGGGACTCCCATCTCTTTCGAGATGGCTGGCCGGTGTGAAAGAGGCCAAACTATCCTCTAAATGATCCCGCTCGTGAAGACCCTTCTGCCAGCAGTGGTGCGAGCAAAAAATTGCATGGCGCTCTTTCATGTTTTCAGATCATTTCACATGGCCGTGCGCAGTACCATATATGGTGTGATGCATGTGCAGTACCGGCTGGCTTGTACCGGCTCTCATGCGATGGGAAACTAACAACGCTGGAGAGCCACCCTGTCACGTGAGCGCGTATAAAGTGAAGTGCACGGCACATTCAAGGATAAACACAGTTTAAAAGAAACGTTACACGCCAGACAGAGCAGGGCGACGACGCGTTCCGCTCCCGTCCATCGTGCGCTGAGCTTGGGCCGTCACCCCCTCTGCGTGGACAAGGAACGGCTGCGGCGCCCATCGGTTCGCTGAAGAAAAACCGCCGCCGTTAAATATCGTAACCGATATTTTTGACTTAAGAATTTAGAAGGGGGTCCTGAGCCTTTGGTTGGGGGGGGGGGGCGTCTCCGGACACGAGTGTCGTGGCAGAGCATCTCGCCACGGACCATGATGCGTTGCAGCGCGCAGCGTTTGCCGACGTTCGCGTAAATGCGGGGGCGGGGGTCTCCGCCGCATGTGCAGGTGGCGGGGTGAACACCCCCTCAACGCGCTGCGATCAAACATGGTTCACGTAAAAAAAAAACCAGCTTAAAAAAATCTTTAATTCACTCAACTACAGCACTGCACTCGGCACCGTTCAGCGCTTCTCACCCAAGGTTTCCATTAAAATATCGACTCATTATTTACTTCAAATAAGATTGATCGCCTCCGCTACCATCGCAGAAGATTATCCTCGAATCGGGGATTCTCTCCACAGCCTCATGCGCGTCCTCCAGCAACACAACTTTGCTGATCTCAAGGAGCATAAACCATCACGCGAACTCCGGTCATCCGAACAGCAGCGGCTTTGGCTAACCATCGTACAAAGACCCGTCACTGCATCGTGCACATCCAGATGTGCTTCTGCGGCCATCTGGAAGGCTTTTCCTTCTAATGTTAGGAAGCCACTGGAGCTATGCACTTTTAAATCTAAATTGAAAACGAATTTCTTCAGAACTGCTTTTTGTGTTTAGTCTGTTATCCTTCCCCCGCACCTCCGATTAGCACGGTTGGCTATGTACGGTGCGAAAGAAGTTTAACGTACACACACATACACAAGTGTTGCATTTCACTATTTTGTGTGTCACCCTTCCCTCCGGCTTAATTTCTCATGCATTATTTTCCAGAGATCTGACCCGGACAGCTCCAACTGAAAGTAGGCCTTGATCACTACCTTTGTAAATTGAACAGAACGTGGCCCAGCTTGGCATCATGGAGACTGAGAAGTACTGCCCCAATGATATTCCTGCCAAGTGCCGCCCCTTTGATTAAAATGGAAAGCGCTATGACATTCTATTACGTATTTCCAGCTTTGATGTAAAACTCTATAAGAATAGTAAGCAATGTAGTGGTTTTCCATTTCGTTAAAAGAGCTTTTTTTGGAGAAAAAAAAATCACTCTTTGGAATATTTGCATAATATTACACACTCGTAATGTTTGCCAAGTTATAACCCGCTCACAGGCTTGCACGGGGGCTGTCAATGATACCCAGACACGCGGCATCAAAGGCTGCACAGCAACAGCGACAACCCGCCACTGTCAGCGAGACCCCCGGTTCCTTTACACTTGTATTTTGATTTTGACGGCATCACCTAGATTCCCGAAGTTTCTTCAAGACCGTTCACTTCTCGAGGAAGCTCTCGGCACGTCTAGAGAAACTTCGGGACGTCGTGCCGAACAGCATGCGGCACAAGCCGAAAACACAACGGAGAGATGAAAATAACTAAAATGTACACAGGCAGCCAGAGGGAAGCGCCTACCCGCCATCACCGTTTGTGATTTCTGTCGGCAGCCCAAACGCGGTCATGACACCGATGGATATGTTCCTATTGGTGTGCAGTCTTAGCAACGTGACGATCTGAACTGGAATTACACGCGTTACCCACAGCACACCTCACCTCACCCTCGGCATGAAGCAATCTCAAGTGCCCCAGAGTGTCACGCGAGTCGTGAATGGCATCCGGAATCCTTCCGCTGTGCCCTGTGACACTGCAGGGCGGGCGCGCGCACACACACGTATGAACGCGGTATCCTGGCACTATTTATTGAAGGCTAGTGGTCGCTTCACAACACCAGCAGCACAGTAGCTCATGGTCACAGTATCATTACACATTCTACGTGTGGCGAAGGTGCCTCTCAATGCCATGCACAGCGAGGCGATCCTGCTGCTGCTGCTGTTGGTGCTGCCTACGGGTTAATCGTTATGAACTTCCATCGAATATTTGGCAAACACTGTATTCGATTCCTTCCTTGCCTTAAGCATTACCGAGATGCTCTTTACCCAATGACTTTTAAGGCGAGAATTAATTCAGCACGATCTCGCGTGCGCTCGCACACACGTGCGTACAATTTACACGCCGACTCCAGCCAAGTCCGGGTTCCACCGGGCGTCAGTGTCTGTGTTTACGTCCCGAATAACGCCCGGGACTCACTGGCACACGGCGCAGCGGGCGGTGGGGCCGG